TTTGTAAATATAAAAATATTAGTAAAAAATTTAAAGCTATTCAAGTTTACAAATAATTTATAAATTTTGTCGTGATTATGCTAAAGAGATTACTTATAATTGTATTTTTATTTAGGAACAATTTGATCAAAAGAAATGTGAACAGATGATGTCAGAGCTATTGGTGAAGAAGTATTTACCCTTCAACTTCTTTGATGACGAACATGTAGAAAATTTATTTACGTATTTAAATCCTTCAGTAGAAGTTCCGAAAAGAAATAAAATGAAATCTCTTGTATTTGACCAATTAGCTAAGACGCAAAAAGTAGTTTTTGATATTTTAAAAGAAAGTAAATCCAAAATCTCTTTCACTATTGACGGATGGACTTCGATTACGAATAAATCGTATTGTGGGATTACTGGACATTTTTTCGATGATCAATGGAAATTGCATTCATTAGTTATTGATTTCGTTCCTTGCCATGGAAAACACAAAGGAGAAGATACAGCCAATTTATTTCTTGAAGTTTTAGAGAAGTATGGACTAGTAGATAAACTTCAAGCAATAACGGTAGATAATGCGTCGTCGAATACGTCTTTCTTAAGAAATCTCACGCTTAAATTAAATTCAAGATTCAAGAAAAACTTTAATCCAGAAGATCTCCACTTTAGATGTTTTGCGCACATTTTACATCTAGCAGTGCAAGATTTCCTGAAACATCTGGAAATTGACCACAATCGAGAAATAGTTGATGAGGAAATTTCTGATGATGTTGATGAATCTGGAAGTGAAAGTGAAACTGATGATGTGAGTGACGAAGAAAATGATGATCCCAATGAAAAACGAAAAGTTATTTCCAAGATGCGGAATCTTTTCAAAAAATTAAGAAGATCAGAACAGTTGCGAGAGAAATTAAAATGTTGTTGTGTCACTACGGGTGAGACTATGTTGTCTCCTAATATTGATGTGTCAACGCGATGGAACTCGACTTACGAAATGATAAAAACTGCAATTCGGATGAAGAAAGGAATAAATTTGTTCTGTTTAATGAATCCTTGTTTGAATCAATTAACAATTGAAGAGTCTGAGTGGACAATTTTGAATGAAGTTCAAAGATATCTACGCCATTTTAAAGCTTTAACTGAACTTTTTTCTGGAGACAAGTATGTTACCTTGCCATCGGTCATTGTGGGTTTCAATTTACTGCTGGATAAAATCGAAAACTCTATTCTAAATCTGAATCTAAAGCGAACTAAAACCAATATAGAAATTAAATTAATAAATGCTCTTCAGTCGGCGCTACAGAAACTTTTAAAACATTATAGAAAAGCTAACTGGATTTACAGTGCAGTGCTTATTCTGGATCCTCGTCACAAATTTGAAACTTTTCAAATGACTGAGTGGGGAAAAGAGATGGCGAAGGAATCTCTAAAGAAGCTGAAACAAATATTTCAAGACTTTTACACCCCACCACAGGAATATTTGCTTCAAAACCAGGATGATGAATCACTCGCTAAAACTAATCAAGTCACTGATGACTTCAGCGACGATGATACTTTAGATGTACGTTGCTTGTATAAAAATGCTAAAATGCTAAATCCTAACGATGATTGGAAAAGTGAAATAGATAGATATTTTGCAGCCCCAAGAGCTGACGGAAATGTGGACGTAGCTCAATGGTGGAGTCAAAATTGTAGTACATTTCCTAACTTAAGTAACATGGCACGTGATTTGTTATCTATCCAAGCCACTTCCGTATCATCGGAGCGTCTTTTTTCACGGGCGGGATTAACCGTTCGAAAACATCGCAACCGTCTTGATGATGATTCTATCAGAGCATGTGTGAATTTAAATTCTTGGACTAATTGCAGTTTAACGTCAATGATAAATACGCGACTTAAAACAGAGAACAAGGAATAAGAAAACTGTTCAATCCAGTTGACGCAATAGACTAATTTATTATTTATTGTGCATTTTGTAATTAACTTGTTGTTATAAAGAATAAATGAAAATTGTTTGATCATCCCTTATTTTAAGATTTACAACTTTTATTAAAATAATTAATAGCATGATTATTTATATTTAATTGATACTTATTAACACTTATTCTTAACGTATTTTTAAAAACAATCCATTTGCAGAGTAATTACTTTTCTTATACATTGTACATAATTATTCAAACTAAATTCTAATTTTGCAGTCAAGTACAGTTATCTTGAATCACGATGACAAAGTCGCAATTAATAAATGGTTAATATTAATTTTAATAATTTCAAACTATAGTGTCGAAACATCCATTTTATATAAAATAATAAAGATTTAAAATATTCCACTTTGGTTATTTTCAGAGATATTAATTTAAAACTCATAGGAGTCACAGAATATAGTAATCTTAACTTTTTTAAAAATATTCCACTTGATAATTTAATTTCAACAACTTTCATTCAAAAGAATAAAAACCACGTATTAAATTTATGACGTATAGCAATGTGTATTTTCTCTTTCAGGTTAAATGTACATATTTTTTAAGTTTTGCTCGATTGTTATTTAATAATTTTCTCAAATTCGAGATTCCCGACTTGAATCATAAAAAGCGAGCCAACTTCTCGACATTATTATATGAGTTGCATTCTTGAAACTGATGCTTTCTTGTCTTGTCCCGCCCGAATGCATCACTAGTCGTACGGTGCCACCAGTACCTGGCGTACGGTTACATAGGAAGTGTTTCTAAGGCAGAGGACAGAGCGACTGCTTGCTTCAAGTGCAATGAAGTCGATCATAAGTCTGCAAACTGCAGTAGAAGCCCCCAACCTACTTTTTATGTAGAGAAAAGTATTGGCGATAACGCGAACATTAGCCGCGTATCGGAGGATACGGAGTCTTCAGGACGGCCCTTGAAATACGTCTGAAATAATCAGAAATTTGTATGTAAGAATTACGAATTTAGAACGCAACACAGTCGAAATTTAATCTCATAACAAATTTTAATTCCAAATGGGTCCAGAATTTTTATATAGATAAACTGCAGTGAATACGAACCAATTCGGATTTTTTCTGGTGAAACATCCTAATCCAAAATGCGAGTTTGGTGGAAATTAGTATACAGAATCCTCAGTCTGTTTGCATAAAAATTTAAAACCTAAATGAATCTGTAATAATCAGAAAGCAGTATTTGAGGAATCCGAATTTAGTACACAACTGTCCAAATTTACTCTGGTCAAAAATTCGAAATGACACCGGTATTTGAATGCATTCTTCTTAGGCATTCTTTAAGAGTATTCTGGATTCATTTCGAATTCATTTTTTTTAAATCCAAATTCGGTTTGTTGGATCCAATCTGCCCAAAAATCTAAATACAATTCAAAATGAGTCTATATATTAATCCAGTATTCTGTATGCAAGAAGTTCGCAATTAGTTTACGATTCTGCTAATTCCGTTGCAGTTTCTATTTCTGCCAGAATTAATCCAAAACAGTTATGTTCATAATTAGGTTTGTTATAAAAAATTAGTTCTGTTAAATCTGAAAAGAATCCATTCCGTGTAACAAGTAATCCATAATCTAGATTGTTACTGACTTAATTCCGGATTCCAAAATATGTTCGGTATTTTAACCACAGATACCTTAATTAACCTTCGCTTGACAAGATGCCCACCCAGGGTGGGCCAGACAAATTGAAATTGCCATATCTTCTAAAGTTTTGCCTTAATTGAATCGCGATTTTAAGTCACTGAACAAAATCTTAAGAACTTTCAAAAAATGTAAAAACAAATTTTTAAAAAAAATTTCTTCTTGATTATTTATAACTTTTATCAATGTATGTACGGAGATAACCGGGATGATTCAGATATTTTTTTATTCTATTTTACAAAAAGACTTGAAATCATGCAGACTTTTCACTGTGAGTGTTTTATGATGTCAAATAATAGATATAAAAAATATTATATTGCATTTTTCATTTGTTTAAACAATTTATTGTTATTATTTATTAACTTTCTTTGTTCTGCACCTAGAAAGATGCAGTTTTTTTCTAATTTTGCAATTTATCAAGCGGAATATAATAAAAGATAGATTTGATGTAAAATTATTAATTCAACAATTGTTTAAACAATTTATTGTTGTTATTTACTAACTTTTTTTGTACGGCACCTGGAAAATTAAGTCAAATCTGTCTGGCTATATTATATTCGGTTTGATAAATTGCAAAATTAGGAAAAAACTGCATCTTTCCAGGTACACTACAAGAAAGTTAATAAATAACAACAATAAATTGTTTAAACAATCGTTTGAATACTAAATTCATATAAAATCTTCATGTTTATTATGTTGAGCTTGTTAAGTTGCAAAATTAGAAAAAAATTGCAACTTTCTTGGAACATTATAAAGAAAGTTAATAAATATCAACAATTATTTGTTTAAACAATTGGTTAAATAGTAAATTCATATAAAATCTTTGTGTTATTATGTTGTGCTTGTTAAGTTGCAAAATTAGAAAAAATTGCAATTTTCTAGGAATATTATGAAGAATGTTAATAAATAGCAACAAGTATTTGTTTAAACAATTTATAATAATAGTTGTTGCAAATTGAATTATATATTTTATTTTATTTATAACCTTTGAATTAATAACTACGAAGAAAAGGTAACAAATTTATAAAATTCTTCTACTGTCGTATGTATATTTGAAATAGTTATAAATTATTAATAATAAATTGTTTAAACAAATAAAAAATCAACAAAACATCAATAAAATATATTATTTGGTAATATATAACAATTTTGGAAAAAAACTGAATGATTCTAAGTTTTTATTGCAATATACAAAGAAGAAAACATTTGGCCCACCCTGGGTGGGATCTTGTCAACCGTGTATATAAAAAGTATCCAGTCCGGCGAAGGTTAAAAATTGCTGATTTAAAATTTGCTGATTTACATATCGTTAGTTTGTTTAATTAATTAGAATTTAAAAATAGTTCTAAAGAAATAATTATAATGTTTGTTGTTTTTCTTGTGTGTTTCAGTGGGTGTGCGGGGGTGACTGGAGTGATGGGATGGGGCCTGAGCCCCATGGAGTTCGGGTAGACCCGTCTCCGGCCCAGCTCCCCAGCCCCCTCCGCCATCGTAGGGCAAATTGGCAAAATTGCTCCTGCAAGAGACGCAGAGGGCCGCCTCGAACGCGATGGAGGCCTCCAGTGCTCAACAACAGAAGGAGAAGGAGCCTCGCGTTCATAGGCCTTGCGCCTTCGACAAGGTATTTATGGCCTACATTATTATTATTTTCCAAAATTAAAAAAAAAAATTACCATAACTAACTTATTTATATTTTTACCCACATAAATTCGCACCCAAATCTTAATTTATAATTTTATATAACATAATAATTTTATTCTTTTTTTTTAAATTTTTTGATATTTAAAATGTTGATTAGATGGAGGGGCTGGTGCGGGAGATGCAAGACCCTGAGAACGGGGTACCCGTGCGCAGCCAGAAACAATTCCTTACCTCGATTCCTTCAGCATTCATGGGTGAGTGTCAACGGTACCTGAGTTGTGGGGCAAACAATTTTGGACTCAATTCTACAGTAGACTGCCTGCGTGTTGCAGGTTATGACCTGATCGAGTGGCTGATGGAGCGACTAAACATCGAGGAATCAGGTACGAAATTGATCTGATTTTTTAACAGGTAGGATGTTCACACATTTCCCATCATAAATTCCAATATCATTTTCATATTTTGTTCCTAAATATATATATATACATTAAAACACTGCCCTTCATCATATAATAATAATTTATATAAATATCTAAATAACAATTTGATTTTAATTTTAGGAAACGTTACAATTTTTTTTTCTCCTGGGACAAAAATTATTGTTATAATGATATAACGTTCACGAAATATTTTTCTTAGTATTTTTTTTTGTTCTTTATAAAAGAGATATTTTTCATTAATATACAGATTTAGATTTGTTTTTATAATTGAATTTTTTTTGTATGGGATATAAAGTTGATTATTTTTAAAACAAATATATGGATTAATGTTTAAAACATTGATTGAGGTTCCGGAAGCAATAAACGTTTCTGGAAGCACGAATTTGTAGTTAAAGTTGAAACCGCCCACAAAGGGACTCGCGGTTTATTTTGATTGGCTGTTCCGGATGACCGCTAGACGATGAGTGGCTGTAGTACGACCTTGAAACTGAGGCCAATTAAATGAGCAGGAGTCTTATGTGGGCGTTTTTATTTTTGACTACGTGGTCCGATTAACATTATTTGGTCATAATTTTACGAGGCGCCCATTACCCAAGTAGCACGTAATATTACAGCAATATTACCCGGTAACATTACAGTTATATTAAAATATCCGCCTCATGGTAATATTACCGGATAATGTTACTGTAATATTACACGGTAATATTAAGGCATTATTACTGTAATATTACAGTAATATTATACCGTAATATTATACCGTAATATTAAAGTAATAATACACGAGAATATTGCAGTAATATTAGAAGAATATTATTTCACGAAAAAAATGTACCCAACCGGGGAATCGAACCCTGAACTCAAGGCACACAAGTCCAGAGTTTTACCAACAAGCCACACTGACTTACAATATATTTATGATTGTGATGCTTTATAATTAACTCAAATCAATCTGTAATATTACTGTAACATTACCGTAATATTAAAGTAATATTACTCGGTAATATCACCATCATGCGGACATTTTAATATCACTGTAATATTCCAGTAATATTACCGGATAATGTTACTTTAAGGAGGGTGGCGAGTCAACATAACCTCAAAAACCTGTCAAAGCTAAAAAATTATTTTTAACGCAAACAAAAATATAATAACTATTAATTTCAAACAATTTTAGAAGATCTAGATTTACTCCTTTCGAAAAAAATTATTTTTTTTCAAAATATTTTGTCAATAATTATTTTTTTAACATTTAGTTTATTTTTTCTTTTAAATCAGACAGAAATTGCAATTTTTAACCAATTTTTATAAACAAAAGCTCATTTTACTAAGTGAAACATTCACTACAATTGTTACCTTTTTATATTATAGTAAGTATGTTCTTAAAAATTTAGAAACAATTAAAATTTTATTTATTAAATAACTTTTTAAAAACATACTTATCACAATATAAAAAAGGTAACAATTGTAGAAAATGTTTTACTTAGTAATATGAGCTTTTGTTTATAAAAATTGGTTAAAAATTGCAATTTTTGTCTGACTTAAGGCTAGGTCCAAGTCGTGTCAGCTGTTCCATTGAAACTTCAAAGGAACAGCTGACTCGACTTGGACCTGGCCTTTAAAGAAAAAAAAACTAAATGTTAAAAAAATAATTATTGACAAAATATTTTGGAAAAAAAATAATTTTTTTCGAAAGGAGTAAATTTAGATCTTCTAAAATTGTTTGAAATTAATAGTTATTATATTTTTGTTTGCGTTAAAAACAATTTTTTAATTTTGACAGGTTTTTTTAGGTTTTGTTGACCCGCCACCCTCCTTAATATTACTGTAATATTACGTGCTAGTTGGGGTTCATTTTACAAGTTGAAAATAAAAAATATAAAGAAAAAAATTCAAATGAAAAATAAATTAATTTTATGGTTCAAAAATTTTTAACGTGAATTATATTATTCAATTTAAAAATTAATTTAATTGAAGTTGGAGATCCACTTTTTCTTTGAAAATATAAAAATATTAAACAATTTTTCATGAATAGAAAATATAATTACAAATTAATTGCATAAAAATTAAATTGATTATTTAAAATTTATTATATAATATATATATATATTATTCAAGTTGGAAATTATATTAGAAGGTAAATTATTATTTTCATTAATTAAAAAATTAATTGTTCAATAATAATGAATAATTTTTGTTTTTTTTTAAAAAGTTAGTGAACAATTCTAATTTTTATAAAAAAAATGGCTAATTTTTCACTTTGAAATATTCTCTGCAATTCTGATTTTGTGTTTTTGTTAAATAATGGTTTGTTTAAAAAATATAGAAAATAAAAATTTTATTAGAATAGAATAGAATTTATTTTCCTTTGACAATACAAAAAATATTTGTTTTTTTGTTCAGTGATAGCCATATTTACACTACACTATTTACATTCTATTTTCTCGATTTATAAAATTTTTATTTATTTATTAACTTTTGAACAAAATATTGTTAATAAAATTCAATGAACAAAAATTTGAGAAAATATTTTTAAAAAAAAATGAGTTATTTTTCGTAAAAATTGGATAAAAATTACAATTGTTCACCAACTTTAAACAAAAAATAAAAAAAAAATTATTATTTAATAACAAATTTTTCCGCAAAATAATTAATCAAAAAAATATATCTATGTAGATTTTTTATCATCACATTTTTTTAAAAAAAGATTAATCGGACCTGTACGAGTTGAAACGTATAAGGGCTGTTATTGTATCCGGACCCTTAATTAATCTAATGATTTGCAAAATTTAATTAGCACATTGATTTACGATAAATAGTTTAAAAGAATGACATCGCATGAAACGGTTTTTTCTTAATTATACACAAAAAAGAATAATATAGCGTTTGAATGTGTTTCTTTATTCACTTTGTGTTAAAAAAAAAAAATATAGACGTAATTTGATAATTATTTTATTTATTTTTTAAATAAAATAATTTGAGTGAATGTATTATTTTATTATTATTATTATTATTATTATTACTTTAGTAATTTTTATATTGCTTGCATTGAAAAGAAATTCTTTTGAAATTTATTTTTTTTTCTGTTTTCACTTGGCTATTTTTATGATCGGTCGTGCAAGTTTTATAAATTTTTTTTTTTTTTTTTTAATAGAGCTAGAATTCTTTTCTCTCTATACCATATATTATAGGTATATATTTTAGCGATTATTGTAGTTTAGTTGAGCTTGAATTAGAGCTATTATATTATTATTTATTGTTTCGAATTTATTTTATATATATAGTTTAAATTCTTATTATTGATATTTGTGTAATAAAAATTTTTAACGATTATTGAAAAGAAAGACGACAGTTATTATTCTTTTTTGACAGTAGAGGCGGTTCATATTGCTAATCAACTTTGCCAATACGGCTACTTCTTCCCTGTAAATGACTCCAAGACTCTTGCCGTAAAAGATGACAGCTCTCTTTATAGGTTTCAAGTAAGAAATTTATATTCAAAATTATTTATTATTCTATACGTATAATTTTTTTAAATTAGGAATGGAAAAAAGAAATTTTTTAATTAAATTTTTTTTTTTTTTTTTTGTATAATTTCAGGGATCACATTCAATTTTAAGCAAATTTTAATTTATCCAAATTTTAAAGTTTCTATTTAAAAAATTCTCAAAAAAAAATTCCATTAATCAATTTTAATTTTGATTGGTCAATAAAAATTTAGGAATTAAAAATTTTAATCAAATTTCAAATTCAATTTATCGTAAGTTAAAATTAACGAAATTTTAAAACCATCTAAAGATTAATTGATTTAAATATTTAATTATTGGAATTTCAATTTGACTAAATTTTAATTTATTTGAGTTTTAATTTATCGAAATTTTAATTGATAAAAGTTTTAAGTTATCTGAATTTTAATTTATCGAAACTACTATTTTTTTTATTTTATTTCTTTTTGTCACCTATTTTTGGAAAATAATTTCCCATTTCACCTATTTTCAAGAAAAAAAAAAAAGTACTGTGATCCCTGTAATTTTTTATACTATTTTGTTTTTCTAAATTCAATTATGTTTTTTTTTTTCTTAAATTTAATTATAAGATAGTTTTGAAGTAAAGAAAGTTTTTGTGAAGAAAATTTTTCCATTTGCATTGAACTTGTGTGTTTTAGACACCCTACTATTGGCCATGGCAGCATAGAACACCGGACAATGTGGAGTATGCCATTTACTTAGCTAAGCGTACTCTAAGAAATAAGCAACGCCATGCTCTTGAAGATTACGAGATTGTACGTTCTTGAGATTCTTGTTATTCCACTTGTTATTTTTTCTCTCTTTTCTTTCTCTTTTTCTAGAAAATTAACTTTTGTAAATTTAAAAAGAAAAATAAAACTTTCTTCATTTTAACCGCGACTTTTTTTATGGATAAGCTTGAAAAACATTGAAATTTATATATTTATAGGATTTTTGTATTAGTGAATTTTATAATCAGCAAAATTAAAATTTATCCATAGCCGAATTTTAATTAAATTTAATTTTTAATTTTAATTTAACATAATTTATAAAATATTGCACATTTTTATTTGGCTGAATTTTTTATTTAATACAAATTTTATTTCACCTAATTTTAAAAATATAAAACTAATTTTTTATTTAAAAATTCAGCTTTTTTTTGAAAATTATTGGATGCATGAATATTTTCCACACTGAATTTTTTGCAATTTCTACGTTGTCGAAATTAATAAGATCGAATTTTCATGTTACCGAATTTTATTAAGTAGAATTTGTATTGAATTTTCATATTTAAGAATTTTTATTTAGTCAAAACTTTTGTAAAACAGATTTTCTAGTTGATCGGATTTTTATTTAATATAATTTCTATTTAACAGAATTTTTATTTTCCAAAATTTTGATAATACAACATAATTTTTATTTAATCTAATTTATTATTGGCCACGTGAACTACTACTTTATAAAAATTATTTTTTACACGAATTTTCATTTTTCAAAATAGCATTTAACATAACTTCTTTTTAAACTACCTTTTACTCAATAGAATTTTTAATTTGTCAAATTTTTTTTTGACAGGATTTTTATTTTACAAAATTTCTCTTTACTCAACCGTTTTATTTTCAAAATAATTCTAATTTAACCAAAATTCAGACAATAATTGAATTTTAGAGTATTTTGAATTGAAAAATGTTTTAAAAATAATTGAAATGCCAAGATCTTGATTAAAGTTAGAAATAATTATTTCAACAAAAAATTTGAATCAAAATTTTTAATAATAATTGAATTTCAAGAGATTTTGAATTAAAATTTTTGTATATTAGAATTGCTGGAAAATTATTAACAAAGTTTTAAACAGTAATTTATTGAATTTTAGAGAATTTTTAATTAAAAAAATGTTTTATTTAATTGGAATTTTTGAATAATTGAATTGAAATTATTAATTTAGTAAAGAATTTTAGATACAAATTTTTAAAATAATTCAATTTTGGATTAAGATTTTTAGAAATAATTGAATTTTTGGAGATTTTTTAATTAAAATTGTTGTTTTAAAATACTAAATATTTTATATAAGCTTTCCATTTCAAGTTCTAGGATTTAAAAATTCGAATTACTTAAAATTCCACTGAATAAGAATTCTAATAAATTAAAAATTGGTTAAATTAGAATTTTTTTCAAGAGTTGGGTAAAGAGAAATTTTGTAAAATAAAAATTCGGTACTTTGAAAATTCCGTTGAGTAAATATTCGTTTAAATAAAAATTCTGTATTAAATGCTATTTTGTAAAATAAAAATTCGGTACTTTGAAAATTCCGTTGAGTAAATATTCGTTTAAAAAAAAAATTCTGTATTAAATGTTATTTTGTAAAATAAAAATTTATGTGAAAAATCATTTTTATGGAATAATAATTGTAAAAAATTCGGTCTAAAAATTATATATTTTTAAAAACGCCTTTTTTATATATAATTAATTTCATTTTGTTTTTCATGAAAGTTTTGATATTTTTCACAATATTTAATTTGTTGTATTAAAATTTAAAAAAAAATTACTTATTTTTCTCCCAACTTGTATTGCATAAAGTTATAAATTTCTTCTTTCTTTTTTTTCTATTTTTTATTGTTAACATACAGGAGGCCTTGAACAGTTTGAGAAAGAATTTGCAAAACAAGTGGGATATTATACAATTGCAAGCCGAGGAACAGGTGCGATTATCGAAAGAGCGAAAGAAAGGGGATAAGATTGTAAGTGACTCGCAGGAACGTGCATTTTGGAGAGTTTACCGACCACCACCAGGGTGTTCGAGTACCCTTGAGATAGTGCCTGTTCCGGCTCGTGCAAGACCGGGACAACGTGCTCTACCCCGCAAAAGAACTCTTACCGATTTGCAGCGTGAGGTAATTCTTCTTTTTTCTTTATTTACATTCTAAAAAAAATAGTGTATTTTTCTTTAAATCGTATGGAAATTTGTGCATTGGAAGGCGGGGAAAAAAAAATTTTTTTCTTCGATTTTAAACGAATATTTTTTCGGGCAAATGAATTTTACAGAATTTTTCTTCGCCAACTTTTTATTTAAAAAAAAAAAATTCTAATTTCAACAAATATATTAATTTAGCAAAATTCTCATTCAACAGAATTTTAAGTGATTTGAATTTTTATAAATGCAAAAAATTTCAATTCACTGAATTTTCATTTGCCCGAATTTTTTCTCATTCAACAGAATTTTAAGTGTTTTGAATTTTTATAAATGCAAAAAATTCCAATTCACTGATTTTTCATTTGCCCGAATTTTTATTTTCACAAATTTTTATTTGGCAGAATTTTTAAAACACCGATTTTTCATTTAACCGAAAGATTTCGGCACGATTTTTAAAATTTACAATTTTTGATTAGTTAATTTTGAAATTCACACCGAAATCTTTCTGTCGACTGTTTTTTCGGCCATTTGAAATTTTAGACAAAAAAATTTGTCAAAAAAGATAAAATCGGGGCAAAAAAATTTATTTTTTTTTTATAAATAAACTTTCGGACAAATAAATATTTGTCATATTTAGTAAAAAAAAAATTTGCTAAATAGAAATGTAAATAAATTAAATTTTAGACAAATGAAAATAAAAAATTCAGACAAAAATGACATTTTGGATAAAAATAAATCCAAACAAAAATAACAATTCGGCTATAAAAAAATTCGTACATATGTCAATTTTGTTGAATTTTTTTGCTGAAATTTCTAACAAATTAAATTTTATGCAAAATAAAATTTCGAACAATATCACAATTTGGCTATAAATAGAAATTCGAATAAATTAAATTTCTGTGAATGAAATTTTAGATAAATGCAAAAATTCGAATAAATGAGAACTTCAAGAATAAAAATTCTAGGCAAATGAAAATATTAGAAAAATGTAAATATCTTTTAGTAAAATCAATTTTATTCTTTGTCAATTCAAATAAATTTTTAATCTTACACTTTATTTAAATTGAAAAAGATGTTCAGAGAAATAATTTTTTTTAATTTGAAAAAAAGAAATGTTTTCTGAATAATAAATTTTTTTCTCTTTTTTTGTCTTTCAATTATTAGTATTACTTCGATATTTCAATATTTATCGCAATTTTAGCTCTTTTTAATCATGATTTTAAATTCAAAATTTTTTTTCTTTCTTTTTTTCTGCTTAAATTGTTTATTTTTTTCTCTTTTAGGTTGACCTTTTACGAAATAGTTTAACTCGCACCAGAGTGAAGGTTTCAGTTGCGATAGAAAATATTAAGTCTCACTATGAAACTTATGCAGAATATGATTCCATGATTTCACCACCACAACCTTCCAATCCATGGATCACTGATGATCAAACTTTTTGGCAACTAAATAGTCCTTTGTGAGTTTTTTCACAGCATTTGTTTTCTTTATATATGTAGATCAAAATTATATTTCATTTTATTATTTTTTTTTTTTTAAGAGTGGTATGAAAATAATTTTTTCAATTTTTAGAGAAATATTTTTAAATTTGCAAATCTTTTTATGTATGTAACTGTAAAGCTTTAAAATTTTTAATTCTTAAAATATTTTTAATTTTCAAATGATGACGAATTTAAAATTTTTCAATTATTTTTTTTACATTTCGAACTTTAAAATGTTTTTCAAATTTTGTCATGTTTTTTTTAAATATGAAATTCTTTTTATAGTCACTTATTTTATTATTTAATCAGGGTGGAAGTTCCTACGGAAAAAAGAGTAAAAAGGTGGGGATTGTCGATGGAAGAATTAATGTCGGATCCAACGGGTTTACTGGAATTCACAAATTATTTAAGGAAAGAATATAGTCATGAAAATATTCGATTTTGGATGGCTGTTAAGGATTTGAGGCACAGTTATCAAGCCCAGATTGCTGAAAAAGTCAATGAAATCTTCAAGTTCGTATAGCTTTACAATATTGATTTAATTATTAATTTCCTTTCATTTAAAATTTTTTTTTTTTTTTTCAATTTAGTATCTTAACTATTTATTAATTTTTTATTAAATTATATTGGTTCAAAAAGTTGCGATTTCCTCCAAAAAAAATTATTTTATATACATATTTATTTAATTAATTTATTTATTTAAAATTAGGAAAAAATTTTAGAACTTTTTTTTTGTCCTAGTTGAGGATATTAAAAAAATATTTTTTTTTTTTTTTGTAAAAGAACTTTTGAAATGGATTTTTTTTTCGACAGAGAATTTTTGGCACCTGGTGCGCCTTGTGAAATAAATATTGATGGAAAAACAATGGAGAAGGTTCACCAGGAAATGAAAAATCCAAGTAGGTTTACGTTTGATTCGGCTGCTGAACATGTGTACGCGTTACTTCTCAAAAAGGATTGCTATCCCAGATTCATTCGCTCTGATCATTATAGAAATCTTCTAGCTTCCGGAGTTCAGCCACTTGTTAAAAAAAGGTATAAAAAAAAACATGAAAAGAAAAAACAGATTTGAAACACCTTTGAAATTATTTTTAATTTTCAATAAAATTTATTTCATTTATAATTTAAATTTTTTTAATTTAATTAAACAAAAATTTTTGATTTAAAACTATTTTAATTTTTATATTAAAAATTTTTTAAGTTATTAATTATATTATAATTTATATCCAATGATTTGAGAATTTAATTAATCAATGCAAAACAGAATTACACTGTAAAATTTAGGATTTTTTATTTAAAAATCCATTGTCCCGGATTAACTTGCCTATTATAGATGATAAAAAAAAAAAAAACAAAAGCGAAATTAAGTGAAATACTAAATTATTTTCCAGTGTGCAGTTTCGAGATAAAAGGTAAGCTTATTAATGTGGAACTCCTGATTATTAAAAATTGAATGATTCCCATTTTTTTTTAACCCCTGATTTTATAATTTATTTCCTTTTTTTTTATTTTTAGATAATTTTATCCCGTATTAAGCATGACTGCAAACCTGGCAAATCTATAAATAATATATAGTTTTCATTCCCTGTAAATAGCTTCATAAAAATTGTATTTAAAAAAAAAAAGAGGAAATTTTCCCTTGTCTACCTTTTTCATATTATAGAGTTTTTCTTTTATTTTATGTTTCAAACTGAGACGCTATTAATTTCCAATAATAATATCACTTACCAAAAGACCTGTAAACTCGTAACTGCACACTAATAAAAAATTTATCATTCTTCTGTAATAAGTGTATTTAAAAGAAAAAATTGTATTTTAACCAAAAAAAAAAAGAAAAAACAACCATTAAAAACTATCCATTAAAATTAAATCTAATATCATAATTTATAATCATTTCCACATTTCTAGTAATTCGTTACTAGGTAAAAAATTAATAACCTTGTTATAATAATAAAAATATTAATAATAATAATATTAACAAATTATAGATTTATCACTCGATAAAGGTTTTAAGGGAAATAGAAAATTTTATCAATCACTCCGAATTAAATTGGTAAAATTTTCTATTTCTTTTAATTATACATAATAATGATGATAATAAAAAAAATAATAATACGTATATAATAAAATAAAAATTGATTTTTTTGTTCTAATAATAATTCAATAATCAATTAAAGTTTAATCTTTTGTGTATTTTCAAAAATGACGTAATTTTTAATTAATTATGACGATTCCATGTGAAATTTTAAATTCGGATAAAAATATTTTTTTTTTCGTTCTTTGCAGAAAAAAAGGTACAGTATATTTTTTTATAATTGGCCAAATGTTTGAGTTATCAATTTTTTAAAATCTGGTATTTTTTCAAAATAAAATGCATTTTAGTTTGCTTTTCTATAAGTAAAATGAAAGATCCTAGTGGCATTTTAAAAAGGAAAAAAAGAGCGCATGATTATCCCATAAAAATAATTAATTAGAATTTTAAATTAGAAATAATTATTCTTTAGACGAATTTTCAATTTTTGAATTAAAATTTGATCGATTTTCTTTTTATACGAATATTTACATAATAAAATTCTTAGCTATACCGAATCTTTTTTTTTTTTGGCAGAATTTTTATTTTACAATAATTTTCTTTACATGATTTTTTATTTAAAAGAATTTTAATTCAAATGAATTTTACATCAACAGAATTCTCATTTAATCGAATTTTTAAATGAATAAAATTCCAATTCACCGAATTTTAATTTGTCCGTATTTTTATTTGTACAAATTAAAATTCGGTAAATTGAAATTTCATTCATTTAAAAATTCGATTGAATGAGAATTCTGTTGATGTAAAATTCTTTTAAATAAAACATCATGTAAAGAAAATTATTGTAAAATAAAAATTCTGCCAAAAAAAAAAAATTCAGTAGCTAAAAATTTTTTTATGTAAAAATTCGTATAAAAAGAAAATCGGTCAAATTTTAATTCGAAAATTCGTTAAAAAAATAATTATTTATTTAAAATTTTTTACAATGAAAATTTTAATTAATGATTTTTATGGAAAATTTATGCGCCTCAAAAAAAATATTTTTATCCGAATTTAAAATGGTAAATTTTACGTGGAATCGACCAATGCAATATTATTTATATTATGTATAAAATATTTTATTATTATATACTAAAATTATTTTAATAATAGAAATAATAATATTAACAAAATTTTTGTTGTTACAGGAAAAAAAAAAAATGATTGTGCAATTTATTTTTTTTTTTTTTTTTCAAAAAATCACAAAAATTATTGGAATGTTTTGTTTTTTTGGTTTTTTTTTTAGATTCTTTGTATTTGGAGGTCAGGCAAAAAAGAAGACACCATCGACATCAACGACGATGCCTGGTCTTCAGCAACAGCACACGATCACTGGTGGAGTAGGAAGACGAAGAGGAAGTGATCGCAGTTTATCGGGTTCAGCTCACGAGCTTGCAATTTTAGGAGTTCGTGATGTGACTTCAGCTCCACGAGTGCCTCATTCTCACAGCCAATCAAACCTCACAGACATTCCCTACAGGTTCGTTAAATTTGATTTTGAAAAAAAAGAAAGAAAAGAAAAATTGAAAGTTAAAATTTAGCATTAGAGCATTTTTTTTTTCAACTAAACTTTTTTATTTTTAACAACGAAAACACTGAACATAAAAGAGTCTTGTTCTTCAAATTATAATTAAGCTGCTTAATATAAAACATTTTTTTTTTATTTATTTTTTTTTTTGGGAGAAAAGAAGGTGAACGTCAATTGGTACTCAAAAAAAAAAGTCGGTTTTATCGATCCGACTTTATTTTCAGGGGTGATCTGGCTCGCTTCATTAAGATTCCTACCAGGCCTAGTTCCCATAGTTATCAGTAAGTTCCCGATTTTCCAAGAGTTTTTCTCGTGGTATTTTTTATGTATATCTATATATTTATAATGTAAAACCTTTTTGTATTTATTATTCGTTGGATATTATTACAATTTTATCAACGTTCAGTTGTTTTTATTGTGTCTCTGGAATTAAAAATTTTTTTCGGGTACGTATAAATATTTCCCACATATTGAAACTGTTTGAAATTTTTGTGGTATTGAATTAAAAATTATTGAATTTTTATTTAGAAGAATTTTATAAAGTTGATTTTATAATGAGGGTAATTTTTATTTTGAAAAATTTCTATTTAACTAAATTTGGATTTAATAGAAATTCTATATATTTAACTGAATTTATGTCTAGCAAAATTGGCATAAAAAATTTTTATTAAGAAAATTAATTTATTAAATTCAAACAAAATACATACCTATAACTTTTTTTTTGTACAAACTGTATTTCTTTGAAAATTCAATTAGTTTGAAAATTTATATCTAACAAGTCTTTTCAAAATTAATCATTTTCAATAATTTTAATGAAATTCTTCGAAAATTTAATTAAAAATCTTCAATTAAAAATTCTCTATAATTTAATTATTGGCTAAAATTCTTTTGAAAAAATATTTTAGTAATTCAAATTTACAAAAATTTTTGTTCAAAATCTCCAGAAATTTGATTAATTCTAAAAATCTGAATTGTAGCTCTTTTGGAAATTTAAATAATTTGAAAATTTAAATCTAAAAAGTCTTTGCAAATTTAATTATTTTCAATAATTTTAATGAAAATTTTTGAAAAATTTAATTAAAACACTTTTAATTAAAAATTTTCTAAAATGTAAATTATTAGCTAAAATTCTTTTAAAAAAGTTTTCAACAATTCAAATTTACAAAATTTTCAATTAAAATTCTTCGGTTTGATTAATTCTAAGAATTTGAACTGTAGCTCTTTTGAAATTTAAAATATTTTTTAAATTTCTATTTAAACTTCTTCGCCAAGTTAAATTATATTTTTAATAATTTTAACAAATTTCTTCTAAACTTCAATTATTAAAAAAATTTTTGCAATTATTTAATTAAAAATTAAAATTTTTTTAGAATTCAACTATTGTCTGTAATTTGTAAAAAAAAATTATCTTTAGCAATTCAATTTTACAAAAATTTCAATTTAAAGTCTCTTGAAATTCAATTATTTCTAAAAAAAAAAAAAAAATCTTAAATATTTAACTCTTTCAAAACTTTATTATTTTTAAAATTATCTGAAATTCTTCGCCAAATTAATAATTTTCAATAATATTAAAAAATTGTTTCAATTTCTAATAATTTTTACCAAAATTCAATTATTTAAAACATTTTTAGATAAAAATTCTCTCATTTTCTATAAAATATTTTATTTTCAATCATTTGAACTTCAAACTTTGACAAAATTCTGAATTCATAAATAATTTGCAATAAATTAGACTTGAAAATTTTTTTTTGAAAAAGTAACTTTCATATTTTTTTATAAATTAAAAATTTTTGAAATTCTTGAAAATTTATCTCAACTCAGTTCAATTTCCAAATTTATTTCCAAATATTAAAAAATCTATAAATAATATTTATCTAAATAAAATTCCTTGGTAAATTATTTTTATTAATTATTATTATTATTATTATTATTATTATTATTATTATTATTATTATTATTATTATTAAAATTTATTCTTAGTAGCTAATAACAATGGTTAATATTAATAAAATATTTATTAAAATAATAATAAATTTATTAAAATTTAAAAATCAACTTTTTCGACAATTTTAACAGTTTTTTGTTAAATAAAAATTTTGTTAAATGTGAATTCATTTATTGAGAATATTGTCAAGTGAATATTTGAATAAATAAAAATTAAATAAAAGAAATAATTAAATTTATTAAATTAATTTCAATTAGGTAATTAAATTAATCAAATTTCATTTAATTTAAAAAAAAAATGAATAAAATTAAATAAAAATTATTTTTTCTGAAAATTTTACTATAGACATAAATTCTATTAAATGAAAATTGTATTATTTTTGAAAATTCGATGTCTTAGAAAATTTGCTATACAAAAATTTGGTTAATTAGAAATTCGACTCTTTATAAAATCCACTTTAGAAAATTCTGCTAAATAAAAATTCGATAATTTTAAATTCGACACCACAAAACTTTCGACAGGCCTCATATAGAAAATATTAATTCGTCCCAAATTTTCCAATCATCTATTCTTGAACTAATATTTCTAAAAATTTATCAAAAAAATTTCTCTTTGACTCGCGTTTGAAAAATGTTTTTATATTTTTTTTCATTTTCTTTTTTTTTTACATTGCAGTGTACTTTGTGCATTACTATATATTTTCTTTTGAGAATATATTCTTTTGTTGTTTGTCCAGAAATAATGACGTACCCATCGATGTTAATCTTCTGCCGTATTTTTTTTTTGTGCCTCTATATTAGGATGTGTATTATTAAACCTAAAAATTCATAACACTATCTCTCTCTCTCTCTTTCTCTCTTCTTTTCCTTCCTTGTATGTACTATCTATATTATAGAGTATATGAATTATGAAAATCCAAAAGCAATACGTGTCGTTATATAGTGCTTCTTTTTTCGTTTTAACTCTTTTCTCAAAATTTATGAGTCTTTTATTATTATGTATATTCCTATTTTATCCTTCGTTGGGGGGTTTATTTTGTTGAACTCTTCAACGATGAAAATTCTATATGAGAAGAAAAATGATAAAATATTTTTATGAAAATTTATTCCCTTATAAATTTTTATACAATTTTATTTTAAAATTTTAATTAGTTTCATTTATTCGTTTTTTTTTTTTTTTTTTTGAAAATTCCGTATTTCATGAATTTAACAATTCTATATATATATATTGCATAAAAATATTTTTCTTATTTTCATTAAATAATTTTTTATTTACACAACTTATTGTTATTTTATAGCAGGCTTTGGAATATTCTATATTGCTTTTATTTTAAATTTACGACTATCTCGTTAAAATTTTAAGTCTTTTTAAAAATTTATAAATACTTTGTCTTCTTTTTTTCGAATATATAAAATATTAATTCATATTTTTCTGATTGAGAATAAAAAAGTATAATAGAATTAAAAGTTTTAATTTCATTAATTAAAAGATTAACGAACATTGTTTTTTAAAAATTAATATTCTTTTAATAATAAACGAAGTGTAAAAAAGGAATGTATATATGAAATATTTTATGAACATCTCTTATTCTCTGAGACTTGTAAATTGAGGAAAAAAATTCAAATCATAATAGTATTTTTTTGCCTTGAGTGTGTTCTTTACTGTATACAGGAACGTATGAATATATTATTAAAAAAAAAAATTCATTAGTATACGAATTTTCAGTGTTTCAAAATTAGAAATGTCACATTTATATTAAACTAAATTTTATAAAAAATATATTCATTATTCTTTCTTTTAACAGTTTATATCATATACGAATTTTAATTTCACAGATTTTAATATGACAAAATTTCTATTTAACTTATTTATTTAACAGAATTTTTATATTACTATCAAATTTTAATTTTTTTTCGTTTAATTTTTTTTTTCGTTAACAAAATGTTGATTTAACTAAATTTTCATTTCTCAAAATTTTTATATAGAAAAAACTTTCAATTCGACGGAATTTTTATTTAATCAAATTTCGAATTAGAAATTCGACATGAATTTTGAAACACTGAAATTAACACTAATGAATTTTAGATAATACTCATGCCTTTTTTGTGCAATAAATTTGTGTATATCTCTTTTCCCCTCATATATACAATTATTATCAGTTTATTTATTTTTCTGTGATTATTAGAAATTCATAAATCTGTACTCGATTATATTTATAAAATATTGTTAGAATAATTTCTATAAACAAAAATTATATTTGTAAATTTTTTGGAACGCATTCGAATAAGTTCTAAAAATCAATTGTTAGAATTTTTATTTAATAAAATTTCATTAGATATATACAATATAATTTCTATTGAGCCGAATTTTATTTCTTCGAATTATTATTTTTGTTTCAGCGACCCCAAGAACATAAAGTCTGAAATTTAACACAATCTTTTGAAATTCAATTATTTTCAAAAATTTCAATTTAAAAGCTTCTAAAATTTAATTATTTCTAAAATTTTTTGAAATTTAATAATTTCAATTATAACTCTTCTGAAATTAAATTATTTTTTAATGATTTTTATAATAATTCTTCGAAAATTCAACAATCTGAAACCATTTTTCACCAGGGTGCGTCTAATAATTGCTAGGAAAAAAATTCCCTGACTTTTCACTGATTTTTTTCTGACCTAAATTACACTAAAAAATTTTTATTTTTATCAAATAAAATTTATTTTGTTACAATTAAATCATTTACCTGTCTATTATCCACTAATTTCATATGTATTTGAACCAAAAAAAATAATGTTTCGTAAAAACTAAAATATTCTAGTGAAATTAATGCGAAATGAAATAATGAAATAATGAAATAATGAAATAATGCGTCAAATCTTAAATTATCAAATTTTTATTTAGTAACATTATTTAAAGCAGATTTTCTAGTACATTGAATTTCAAATTAATACAATTTCAATTTAACGCAATTTATGTCAAGAAAAATTGCATAAAGAAAAATTTTTTTAACAAAACTTTTATTAAAGAAAATTTTAATTCCAACTAATTCTTATTTAACAGAATTCTCATTTAAGAAAAATTCTACTTAGTTCTCTTTTTTTGTCAATTTTTATAGACATAAATTTCCAGGGTGGCCAGCCAATCGGGAGAACCGGGAGAAATTTGAATCGGGAGAAAGCCGGGACAGAAAAATTAATCCGTGAGATTTTATGGATTTTGTGATTCGCGCAATTATTCGAAAATTGTTCAACTTTTAATCATCTAAAATTTCGTGTTAATTATGTAAAATATATGAGCAATTCCACGTGAGATTGAAGGGTCTATCCTCAAATTCCTTCTATATACTACGTCTAATCTAATTCTGTGTCAAAAAAAGAATATCAAGTATTACTAAAAATCGAAAATTAATTATAAAATGTTATTTAGAGAAAGACTGAAAAATACCGTGCCGAGAAGGTAGGAAACCCCCGCTAAATAAACGGAGCCCGATAATAAGTTTAAAAATTAAAAACAAATTTTATTTTTTCAATAAATAAATAAATTAAAAAATTTTAATTTTTCAAAATTAATTTTTTTTCTTAAACTTCAATATTTTTTGAGCAAAAAACGTTTAGGAAACTTTTTTCCAGGACTAAAAGTGAAAAAGTTTATGAGTAATTGAAAAAAAAGTTGCACTAATTTTTTTAATGCAAATATCTCGAAAAATAATAAATATTTTTTTCAAAATTTTATTTACTCAATTAGACCCATAAGTATATTATTTTTTGTATCAATATTTCCCATTTTTACACGTATTTCCTAAATTGAAAAATGTTTACTAAAATGTCTACTATACTTAATAAAATTTGTTATATTTTATTTCAATGTACTTCATAAAACTTAAATTTTATAAATTTTCATAGAGTGCTTTTGCTGTTCATTATTTTTTACAATTGCATATTACATAAATATAATAGATTTGTGTACAGAAAAAATGTATTTTAAAACCGGAAGAAATCTCCAATTTCTACCGGGAGAAAACCGGAAGGCAAAAATTCTAAAAATAGTAGCCACTCTGATTTCGTTAAATTGAAATTATATTAATTTAAAATTTCAAAAAAGTATTAGAAAAAATGCTTTATAAGAGTTCTGCTAAATAGAAATTCTTTTAAATCGAATTTTAGTTAAATGTAAATTGAAAATTTTGCATAATATAAAATTCACTTTATACAATTTTGCTAAATAGAAATTCGATAATTTAATATTCGACGCCGCAAATACTTTTATAAGTTAAATGTGGATATTAGCATTAAATAATAAAAATTATTCGTATTAATGAATAATTTACTTTATTTGAAGTTGAACCGATAAAATAAAATTGTATCAAATAATTTTTATTTATATTAAAAAAACCAAATATTTCACTGCAAAAAAATTAATTAATTGTTATCCAAGTTTAAAAAATCATTTATTAGATTCAATAAATAGTAGTAAATAATTATTTACTTAATTAATATAAGATATATCACATGCTTAATAATTGAGTGTGAAGGCCAAATTTTTAATTTGCATTTGCTTTGGGAAAAAAGTAAAAAAAAAATTTGAAACTACCCGTGTGGAAAAAGCCACGATCTTGCCCTCAAGAGTTCGGGGCCCCCGGCGGGGGCCCATGAGGGCTGATCCATATGGCGAATCCATGAGGGGCACCGTAGGGGCCCCGCATGGATCGCCCTCATGATCGATTAGCAAAATTTTCTAAGTCCAAAAATCAAATATTTTTTTATCAACAAAAAATGAATGTTTCCAATGATTCAAAACAACGAAAAACGCGTTTTTAATAAAAATATATTTACACTTTTTTGAAAATAACACTCACACTTATGGCGAATCCATGAGGGGCAACGTAGGGGCCCCGCATGGATCGCCCTCATGATCGATTAGCAAAATTTTCTAAGTCCAAAATTCAAATATTTTTTCGTCAACAAAAAATGAGTGTTTCCAATGATTCAGAACAACGAAAAACGCGTTTTTAATAAAAATATATTTACACTTTTTTTGAAAATTCACCTGAGATGATTCATGATAATAATCATAAAGCATATAATTAATTATATTTTATAAATTGCATTTGATTGGAAAATATAATTTAATATCTTAACTTTAACTAAATGATGTTAAGCACTTTTCTTTGTTAGGTATTTTGGAAGTTTAAATAGCATCAAGAAGTTAGCATTCGTTTTGAAGTAGCGTGCGTAGCGTAGTTGGTAAAGCGTTAGACTCATAGTCCGTAGGTCGTAGGTTCGATTCCCCCCATGCGTTAGATTTATTTATTTCTCAGGTTTGCGTTTAATCATTAATTCTATGTATGAATTAATTGAAAAATGAAAATATCCGTTAATAGTATGCATAAATTACATATTTTTTAATTTTTTAATTAATTAATTTATTATTACTTTTAATTATATCCGACAGTTAATTAATTAGAACGTTAATTAATAAATTCAATTTGAGTAAGAATTTAATTTAAAACTAGCGATATATTCATAACTTAAGCTTATTTATTATTAATTAACTTTTATTATTAATATTATTGATTAAAAAACATTATGGCAAACTTGAGGGCAAGATGAGGGCAAACGTGAGGGCCCATAAGGGCGCCCGTAGGGGCACCCTCATGGATCGCCCATGCGGGCGCCCTCATCGATGAGCATGTCGTTTCCATGAGGGGCCCCTATGGATCATCCATATGCGGCCCTCATGGCATGAGGGCGATCCATAAGGGCCCCCGCTGGGGGCCCACATCACTTTTCCACACGGGTAATAGTTACTTTAATTTATTCATAAAAAATTCCAGAAAAATAAAGAAATTCCCTGACTTTTCTTTCGCTGATCATTTTAATTCCCTGGCTTTCCCTGACCGTTAGACACCCTGTTCACTTAAAAAGTTTTCAAACTATTGTATTTTTGTCTGCAATCTCTAATAAATTTTTTAGTGAAATTATAAAAAAAATTTTAATTAAAAATCACTTGAAATTCAATTAATTTCAAAAATCCAAATTGTAAATCTTTGAAAATTCAATTACTTTTAAAAAATGTTATCTAAAATTATTTGATAAACTATTTTTAGTTCTGTAAAATTTAATTATTGTCTAAAAATTAAAAAAATCTTTTGAAATTCAATTATTTCTAAAAATTTCAACTTTACCTCTTAAAAAATTATTATTATTAAAAAAAAATTCAATTTAAAAATTTGTAAAACTTGATTAAGTATTGCCTGAAATTTTTTTTTAACCAAAAAAACTATATGACAAAATTTTTTATTAGAATCAATTTGCTGAAATTAGACTTGAAAAAATTATAAAAATGAAACTTTTAAGAATTTTTTTTTTTTAGAAATTTGTCCTACTGAAATAAACTTTTTGAAAATTTCTCTTACAATTAATTCGATTCTGAAATATTCGGAAATAAATTTTCTTGATAATATTCATTAAAGAATTATTCTCATTACAGAATTAATAAAATGTATTTAATATCTAATAACATTAGTTATTTAAAGTGAAATATTTAATTAACCAATTAAATTTTGTTAAAATAAAATAAAATCGACTTTTTTTTTTGACTTTTATTGGAATATAAATCGACTAAAACAACTTTTTTTGTGCCTTAAAGTCGATCCGAGGCATGCAAATAAAAATTTTCTAATATAGAAAATCGATTTAATAAAAATTCTAATTTTGCAAAATAATAATTCGAATAAATAAAAAATTCGGCTAAAAAATAATTAAAATGAAATTCTATAGAATAAAAATTCTAACTAATGATTTTAAAAACTTATATTTACGTTCCAATTTTTTTTTGTGAGATCCTAAAATTTATATAAATGTCGAGAATGAGCTGTGCACGCAATAAAATCGAGCTCGAAGATATTAAAAAAAAAAGAAAAAAATAAATAATAATTTTGCGTGTAAAAACTAAATCATATAATAAAGTTCATGTTGTCAGGGATGCTGGCGTGGCGGAAGCGACAGTTCGCCCTATGGACGATGTTTGCCCTTGGGATGCGGCGGCACCCGAGACAATGCCAAATATCGCAACAACGGCACCCACATTATCTGGAGTTGCAACAGTATCATTTGATGCCTCATCATACGACATGCCACATCACAGTGGACTCACTCAACCACATGATTATCGATTATCATCGCGAAAAAACTCGTCACAATTAGATTCATGCAGTTCATCATCGGATATTAGTATAGCAATTGCGGAAGTTTCCGAAAGACTGCATAAATTTCCGTTTCCATGTAGTTCGAGTAGTGGTAACGAACGTGCGCCAACAGCCACTATTACTCGTAACTATTCAATAGGTTCAATAAGTGGTAAGGTGAAACTCGCCGATACAAGTCGTCCTTCTGTGTCATCTTATACATGTTCTTCGCCCCAACAATCAATTGATTTATCGTCATCGCAACAAATTGTTGGGGACAGTGCGGTTAGAACTGTACCAGAAGAGGATGTTGATATTCAAGTTCGATCTGGCATTAAACTTACTTCTACAACAACAACAACAACAACTATTTCTAGGAATGATTATCATACGACGACGATAAAATCGCCTGGTTTGGCGCCATTGATCAGTATAAGTGCAATTGTGGGTGATTTATCGGGGGACGCGATTGATTCGGAACAGGATAGTGTTGCTGGTTCGAGTTTTGATTGTGTCTCGAGAGAGGAACAAGCGACGCAAACGAGTTGTCGTCAAGTCGATGTGGATGTTCAAAAAAATGATGATGAAGATGGTGAGAATGATGACGACGACGACAAGATTGTTAAGGACGTAGCGAAAAATACGTCGACAGTTCAAAGTGAACTGATAACTGAGGAGGGAGCAGATGAGGCACAAGTTGTTCCTGTTTGGGATCCGGACACCCAACAGGATCCAACGAACGTCCCAACTGCAACGACAACTCAGGAGCAGCGAGACAATAATGTTAACGAAGTATGCCCGTGGGAAGACGAGTAAGTACTGTTGTGTTTTTTTTTTTTTTTTTTTTCTCTCCTATTTTCACGTTTCATTTTTAATTTTTCACTTTCACGATTCTTTTGTTTTATTATCCAGATTTGTATTGTATATATCCAGTTAGTTAATGATAAACAAAATGTAATTACAATTTTTTTTCAAATTTAAGGCCAGGTCCAAGTCGAGTCAGCTGTGTTCCTTTGAAGTTTCAATGGAACAGCTGATACTACTTAGACCTTGCCTTAATCTATTTTGTAGTTGAAAAATCGTTTTTTGAATGAACAATATCGGAGAAAAAAAAATTTCCAAAAAAAAAGACGATCGCTTTTTAGATATTCAAAGCATTTTAAAAAAGACGAAGCTGAAGTACGCAACGTTTATGATAAACGATTTTTTAAGAAATAATTTTTTTAAATAAAAATTCTATAATTTTTTGCCTAAAAAATATTTTTTTATAATTTGTTGATGAATGAAAACTATAAGAAATATTTTTTAGGCAAAAAATTATATAGAATTTTTATTTTAAAAAATTATTTTTTAAAAAATCGTTTATCATAAACGTTGCGTACTTCAGCTTCGTTCGATGAAGTTCACGTTTATGATCAACGATTTAAAGGAACAATATTTTTCTTTGCAAATTATTAGAATTTTTTATCTAAAAGTTTTTTCGCAATATTTTTCAATCAACAATTTTTAGAGAAAAAATTTGAGGCAAAAAATTATATATATTTTTTTTTTTTCAATCGTTGATTACAAACGTTGTGAATTTTACCGATTTTCAGGAAGTTAGAAAAGTAAAGTTAAAATTTTCAAAAAACAAATATTGAGCTCTACTTGTGATTGTTTATGCAAAAATTAGTTTCTTAAAAAAAAATCAGAATTCCGGGGCAAAAAAAAAAAAAAAAAAAAAACAAGAAGCCTTTTTAAAACTTCTAAAATTAAAATTTTCAAAAAATAAATCAAGTGGAAAATTGTGCTCGACTTATACTGTTTTATACATAAATTCATTTTTTAAAGAATTCAAAATTCCGGGCAAAAAAAACTTTTTAAAACGTCTTAAGTTATAATTTTCAAAAAAAAAAACAACAACAAATAAAGTGCTCAATAATGGTGCTCTTTTATGTACACATTCATTTTTTTTAAAAATTCAAAATTCCGGGCAAAAAAAAACCAAAAAACATTTTTCAAAATGTTTTTTTTTTTAATTGAAAAATTAAAATTTTCAATACAACAGAATCAAGTGTCAAATTGTGTTCTTTTGTACAAAAATTCATTTTTTTGAAAACCTCAAAATTCCGGGCAAAAAAACAAAAAACCTTTTTAAAACATCGAAAATTAAAATTTTCAATAAAAAAACAAATGCAGTGCCAAATTGTGCTCTTTTCTGCACAAATTCATTTTTTTGAAAAATTCAAAATTCCGGGCAAAAAAAAAAACCAAAAAACATTTTGAAAAATGTTTTTTTTTAATTGAAAAATTAAAATTTTCAATACAACAAAATCAAGTGTCAAATTGTGTTCTTTTGTACAAAAATTCATTTTTTGAAAACCACAAAATTCCGGGCAAAAAAACTTTTTAAAACGTCTAAAATTATAATTTTCAAAAAAAAAAACTACAACAAATAAAATGCCCAATAATGGTGCTCTTTTATGTACACATTCATTCTTTTAAAAATGCAAAATTCCGGGCAAAAAAAAACCAAAAAACATTTTGAAAGTTTTTTTTTTTTAAATTGAAAAATTAAAATTTTCAATACAACAAAATCAAGTGTCAAATTGTGTTCTTTTGTACAAAAATTCATTTTTTTGAAAACCTCAAAATTCCGGGCAAAAAAACAAAAAAGCCTTTTTAAAACGTCTAAAATTAAAATTTTCAATAAAAAAACAAATGCAATGCCAAATTGTGCTCTTTTCTGCACAAATTCATTTTTTTGAAAAATTCAAAATTCCGGGCAAAAAAAAAAACCAAAAAACATTTTGAAAAATGTTTTTTTTTAATTGAAAAATTAAAATTTTCAATACAACAAAATCAAGTGTCAAATTGTGTTCTTTTGTACAAAAATTCATTTTTTGAAAACCACAAAATTCCGGGCAAAAAAACTTTTTAAAACGTCTAAAATTATAATTTTCAAAAAAAAAAACTACAACAAATAAAATGCCCAATAATGGTGCTCTTTTATGTACACATTCATTCTTTTAAAAATGCAAAATTCCGGGCAAAAAAAAACCAAAAAACATTTTGAAAGTTTTTTTTTTTTAAATTGAAAAATTAAAATTTTCAATACAACAAAATCAAGTGTCAAATTGTGTTCTTTTGTACAAAAATTCATTTTTTTGAAAACCTCAAAATTCCGGGCAAAAAAACAAAAAAGCCTTTTTAAAACGTCTAAAATTAAAATTTTCAATAAAAAAACAAATGCAATGCCAAATTGTGCTCTTTTCTGCATAAATTCATTTTTTTGAAAAATTCCAAATTCCGGGCAATAGAAACAAAAAAACCTTTTTAAAACGTATAAAATTTTAATTAAAAAAAAAACAACCAATAAAATGCCCATTGTACTCTTTCAGGTACAAATTTTTTTTTTTTTTAATTCAAAATTGCGGGCAAAAAAACCAAAAACCATTTTGAAAATATTTAAAATTAAAATTTTCAAAAAAAAATAAAATCAAGTGCCAAATTGTACTCGACTTGTGCTTTGAATTAATTGACATTTTTTTCCGGCAAAATAATAATTTTTTTAGTAATTTTTGGTGAAAAATTTCCACAATATTGGGCACAATATCAGTTTTTTTGAAACATTTTTAATTTTAGACGTTTAAAAAATGTTTTTTTAATTTCTTTTTTGCTCGGAATTTTGAGTTTTTCAAAAAATAAATTTGTGGACTTTGTTTTTGAAAATTTTAACTGGTTTATATATTTAATAATGTTTTTTGGTTTTTTTGCTCGGAAATTTGAGTTTAAAAAAAATATAAATAAAATTTAAAAATGTCCTGTAAAATTTTCAAAATAAAATTGTTTTGAATCAAAATTTATTGGCAAATAATAATTAATTATACAATTTTATGCTTTTTGTTGCAAGTTAGTGAACAATTGTAATTTTTATCCAAATTTTTATAAGCTTATTTTACTCTTTGAAAAGATTTTCAAAAATTCTATTTGTTATTTTGTTTTTTTATAAATAATATTTGGTTTAAAAAATATGAAAAACAAAAAATTTTATTTGTTCAATAAATTTTAAACAAAATATTGTTAATAAAATTCAACAATTTTAAAAAAATTTAAAATTGATTCATTTAATTTTATAGAAAATAATTCAAAAGAGCAAAATATGCAATTTATTAAAATTTGATAATAATGAGATAAATTGTTTATACTATAAATAAAAAAAAAATTAAATAATAATTATTTAACAATAAATATGGTTGAAAATAATTTTTTTTTCAAAATTGTAAAATTGAAACTTTCAAAATTTGAAGAAATCAATTTTAATTATAGTTTTATTTGTTATGTTATTTAAAAAACATTTTTTTTTTTTTTTTTTTTTTGAAGTTATGAACAAAAAATAAACTTAATTAGAAATCTTCTTTTCTCACGGTATATTTCAAAAACGATTTTTTCTTCTTGACTGCAAAAGAGAATAAATTTAAAAAAATTTGAATTTACCCTACGTTTTTATAATTTTATTTTCTTTTTTTTTTAAAGCAATAAACTTAATTCTATTTTGTCTTAGAATATAATTAGTTATTGAAAAAACGAAACTATTTTCGGAAATTTTTTGAACTCTTAATTATTACATAAGTATATGTATTTAAAATTTTTATTTTTCTATGTGTAAACAGTTTTACTGAAATAATTTAATAATTCAGAATTTAATGTTTCTCGCGCGTGAATTTATTATATATACATATACATATATATGTGTAGTTAATAAAATTAAGGTCATATAACTAAGATGAATGGCGTCGTAAAAAAAATTAACACGTCAAAATGAAATTTTCTCAAACACCTGACATTCTAAATAGTAAAAGAGGTATTTAAAATTAATAAGAAAAAAAAAAACATTAATTTAGACAAAAAAAAATTCTCATTTACATTTTATTTGAGTTTTTCTCGTAGGAATTTTTTATCGAATAGGTTTAAAATTTCAGAAAAATTTATTATTATCCATATCGGCAAAAAAAAAATTGAATTAACTTTTCACTTAAATGAATGTAGTGCACCTTAATGAAATTTTTCCTTGTATAGTAAAAAAATCTATACAGAATGATTGGGAAAAAATCGTATCGAAAAATATATTTTTTTTTAATTTTAAAAATAATTTTCTATATTTAAAAGAAGGAAAAAAAAAATATTATTTTTGATCCGAAATTTTTTTCAATTATCATTCTGTATGGGGAAAAAAAAAATTCAAAACAACACAAATTCTCTTTTCTGAAATATTACCTGTTTTTTTGTTTTGTTTAATTTTTCCAGGGAAAATTGTAGAGTGGATACGCCCTATGTAAAAACTTACGCGACCTTGGGTTATTTGTAAATTTGGACTTGGATTGATAAAATGTTATTAAAAAAGAAAAAAAAAAGGATAGGGTTACCAGAATTTTTTAGAAAAAAAAAAATGAAAAAAATATTCGTCTCTCGAATATTTATATATGATTTTATACTCACTAAATCATCGAATGTGATTTTTTTCCATATAAGTAGGAAATTTGAAATAAATTTAATGTATTCGTACATTTCAATAAAAACTAAAATCAACTTTTCTACGTTAAAAAAATATTACAATGACACAAAGAAATTCTCTTGAATCTCTGGTAACTCTACGATCTTTTAGACTTGAAATTTTGCAAATCGAATTTCCACTTCTTCTACTTCGCTAAAGACAAGAATCCAGATTACTTTGCAAATATTTTTCGACTTTGAAAAAAAAAAGTTTTTAATAATATCATATCTTTCGTCTCTTGAAATAATATTTTTCTTCTATTCACGTTTGAATTCGTAT